ATGCCCTAGCAAAAAGTCCTTTCCCAGCTCTATTGTAGGTCCTCTTTAGGCACTGGAAGGCTGCTATAAGGTCTTCCCAGAGCCTTCTCTTCTCCAGGCTGAACTACCCCAACTCTCTCAGCCTTTCCTTATAGGAGAGGTGTTCCTCTGATTATTTTTGTGGACCTCCTCTGGACCCGCTCCAACAGGTCCATGTCCTTCTTATGTTGGGGGCTCCAAAACAGGAGAATAAAGTGGCACTGGGAGCTCCTAGTATCTAGAAAGCAATATGACTGTTGCACACATTTCAACACTCAATTAAACTAATGAGAATCTTCCCTACAGTGAATGACATATGCAAATACTTACCTATGTGTGCTGCTCTGGTCTGCGTGCAAATACATCTGTAGCCTTTGTGCGGACTGGGAGCATCTGATGGAAATGAATTGTCCTTATCTGGTATCCCAAGACTTTTGGCTGGGTTTCCTACAAGCATCACTGCCTTGATGGCATTTATGGGAAACCTTGCACACAGAGGTCTTCAGATTGGCCCCTACACTACGTTGTCTTTTCCCATCTGTTTCCTTTGGTCTTCTCTTTGACTGTACTAGTCATTTACTTTTTCAGATTGGTTTCAGTCTTCAAAACTGGGATTCCAACAAGCTTGTTAGATAACTTGGAATACTGAATTTTCCAGGCTGACATTTATAGAGGGTGATTGGGCCTTTGGAAAGCCTGAGGTTGCTCTGGGAATGTCTTGTAATTTAATGGGATAATGCCAATTCAGGTGGTTAAACACAACAAGCTATCAGAATTTCTGGGAAGGTCCAGTTGTTCCTATGATGTGCTACAAGTGTGTGCTGGAAGCTCAGTGTCTCTAAGCTGTTGTTACATGCTTAAGTATACAAATGGAGAATTTGAACATATATGAGAAACTGCGATGGTGGCCTATAGGGAATACAAAATGAATTTGATTGGGTGGAAGCATTTATCTCTCAAGCAAAAGATGAATCAAAAAATGGAGGAGAACATATGTAATGTATCTCCATCCCTGTGCAATAGCTGTCTTCCCTAGAGCTGTGTATTTCAGGTGGATATCCCGATTTGGCTATTACAGTGCATTATACACCCAGAAAAAACTGCAGACGTTTTGGGTCTGAGCCTAGAAGGCTACTGCATAGTGATGTCTATGGTATAGGGTATTGTACATTTGCATCATACATAGTGCAATATTCTCTGCTTTCTGTAGATGCTTCAAAAATGCTCTTCTGCCAGAAGTTTCTGTAGATGCTTCAAAAATGCTCTTTAAGCGAGCTTTAATGCAGGACAGGAACTAAGCTGCACTGCGCCATCCAACCTGTGGACTTAACAGGACAAGGAGCTACGGTGAGCCTCTCTATTCTTCATGCTCGGGGAGATGGGAGTCACAGGGTGCCATGTATCACAAAAACCAGCTGCTCAGGGAGTGTCACAGAGTGGCATTGAAATATCCAAGAGGTTGCTGAGAAATCAAAATTCCATGTGGTTGCCACTAAGATTTATTTCAAGATTTTTGTTAGATTACAAGGTGACCCAGCATCATTCAAATGTTTCTTTCCTCAAAATGCTTAGTATTTGAATATGATTAATTTTCTTTATAAGATACATGATTCTACAGCTTCCTCTATAAGCAAAATATGCTCTGAAAATGTATGTTGTACTAATGGGTATAAAACAAGAGCAAGAAGCTGTTTTTTTATCTGATATCACAGACTGTCTCTCTATTGATGAAGCAACACAGGTAGATTGTGCCAATGGCTAATCTGGCTAATTCACTTGTCTCTTCATCATCATTTTTACGGAGAACCAGGATTGCTCCCAAAGGAGAAAGGATGAAGATAAACTGCCTTCCAGTCCCATTTGCAGCTTCAGAAATAACAGAATTTCCCCTGCAACATTGTTTTTGTGTGAAGGAATTATGAATAAGATCAAAGCCTCAAAGAAGGAAAGCATGTATTTCTCAGGAGCTGTCAGTAACTCTGAGAAACTTAAGCGGCACACTGTTTCAAAAGATAATTTTATATTGAAAAACAGGAACAGGATCCAATTTCTCCTTCTGAACTTTAATAGGAACGTCGTGACTTACAGTTTCAGAATTGTGTTACAGGATCCATCACACTTTTTCTTTACAAATGAAAAAAAGGAGATCTTTTAATGGTATTTTCATAGAAAAGAATGGGTTCCTGATTTCTAGGGCCGATAAGAAGATCTAACAGATCATTGTGACACTTAGAAAGCATAAGCTGTATAACTTCCTTCTTGAGACAAGCAGATTAGCCAGAAGAAATGGAGCCAAAGAGTGCCCTTGGCTGAGACTGCAGCACTGTAGAATAAAGCTCTGCAGGGTCACTATGCAAAGTGGGTGAAACACGGTTTAGAAAATAGAACACTGTTTCCTTTATATTGTTCTAAATCTTCTCATGTCCCGTGTATATGGATGGTAAACTTACAACTGCAAATGTCCAAGGAACGTTGACATATTTTAGTTTAAGAAACTAAAAAAAATAAAAAAGGGTACTGAAAGGAGAGCCCTTACAATGTGCTCTTTAGCTGCAAATAGTCATCCTGACATAGCAGATTTTTAATGATGGCTACTCCATCAAATATGAGGGTCACTCACAGGTAACTACTTCAAATGGGAGCCTCATTTCACAAAGCACTTTAAAATGTGTGGCTCTCACCTCGTGAGCCCTGTTCATGAGCTCTGCAGCACAAGCAATGAAATTATATATTAAGCATATTCAGGCCTACAATACATTCACAAATATAATGTCATGCAGGTTTGTATAGTCTCCTGTAACCACACTTTAAGCCAGTCATAGATCTAGACCCAAATTGCAACATTCATGTGGAATAAAGGAATCCCAATATTCAACATATTTGTTTGCAGTTGAGAGAAGGGGATTGTTATTTGCAGGAAGCAGTTTAGACTTTGTTCCTGTCTCATTATTAAGAAGAAAAGCACATTTAAATTACTGATTACCTACACAATTTTTCAAAATATAAATCAATGAACCTTATTTTCCAAAGAGCCAAACTTCAGATAGCTTTCTCTTTCTCTCAGGTAAAAAATTCCCAGTAATATCTACATGGAACTTTAATGAATTTACTAAATGTATGTGTACTTTGAAAACACTGGGGTTTAAAAAAATAGTTTTTTAGCTGGAGTGTGCACTCTTCTAGGTGTCTGTAGCTGGAAGGGAGATCCTAAGTATGGGGTTAGTTAAGTTTAATAGAAATATGATGACAAATGTGGGCAATAGATGTAAAGACTAGTAAAAGTTCTCTTTAATTCCTCAGTGTGGAGTTTCATAAGCTATGCTTTGTAGATTCTCTATTTTGGTCTGCAAATGTTTGTTTGTTTGTTTGTTTTTAATAAAAAAATTATAATTGTCTTACATTGGCATTTTCTGAAAGTTTGCATGAGGATTGATTTTCATCAATTAAGTACCAGCACATACTTTTGCATAACTAATCTTAGAGCTTCTACTCTTGGGGAGTTTTTTTACCTTTAGGACATTTAGGTTCTAATTTCATTTAGAGACAGTTGAAGGACATAGATGTGACTTCTCTTCAAATATAGGAGATTTTCCCAAGATGCAGCCCATAATTGTCCAGGAATAGATGAGGTACTCCTCCTCTCTGTATTCCTTTTCCCATGATTTACACCAGAGTTATGTTTCACACTAACAAACAGGCTACCCCACTGAAGTTTCAGCCTCTGAAAGCAATACAGTCCATGCAAAGTTATTGCTTGGTCACTTAACATAATACCCATGTAATTTTAAATTTTAATGATTTTTCAAAGATTACTTAGAAAATTGGCAGAAGAAGAATTTTGCACATATTTCTCACAATACTCAAGTCAATAATTTTCTAAGTAATTAGTAAAGTTACTGAAACTAAAGAGAACTGTGTGGACCGGTTTGTGGGTCCAGATTCAGCTGCTGACTTCAGGGACCTGAGCTGGGACACAACACCTTGAACCCAATTATCTGGCCTCAACAGGGTGCTTCAAAGCCACACAGGTGCCTATAGGGTCAGAGAAGGGAGTCAGATGCCTATGGACTTCACCAGTGTTCAACACGCAGCTGCCTACAGCAGACACTCATCACTGAGTCCGCGTCTTATAAACTGTGACTCTAGTGTTGTAGGAATGTTTTACAAAATTTATAGAGGCAATTAATTACCACACAAGTAATTTCTAGAATGGATTTTTTCCTGTCTTCTTCCTCTGGTCGTGGGGCTTCATCATCTTTCCTTTCTGAGTAGGCACATGATTTTTTTGCCACTGTCAGAGTTTTACAAATGCTGTTTTAAGCCACAGCCTTTGATAAATGATCCGGTACCAGCCTCTAGCCATGGATTAAAACCAAGGCCCACACATCCTGTAGGACTGTGTTTAGAAAAGTGTGCTGTGACCAACGAGGAGCATGCACAGGTAAGCGGCACAGCGCCGCACACACTTGATCAGCGCTCACTGCAGTTCACCCCTCGTCAGGACACAGGCTCCCCGCACAGCTCGCCAGCCATAGCACATCATCCCACAGTGCCCTTCTTCGTGTCAGCTTTGTGTGAACTGCGGTGCTATTTTGGCCCTGAAAGGGAAATACGTTAAATGCTTTGTGTCTTTTTTTTTTTTCTTTCTGCATGAACAGTAGTGCATTTTTCCCATGCTTTGAGATTTTGCTCAGAAATTGAGAATTCAGAGTATGAAATGAAGTCAAACATCCCTGCCTCGTGTTACTAACTTTTATTGAGAGCTCAGATGAAACCAGCATGCCGTCATGAAATGGGAGCGCGGATTGTGAATAGAAATCAACAATTAAAAGACGGTTACGAAGAATTAAATTGCATGCTGACCAATGTCAAATATCATACAAGAAGCAAATTTTCTGTCAAAGAATAAACAGGATTCAAAATTAATTTTTACTGAAAATTTTCAATTAGATGGCACTTGAGGTCTTCAGAATATTTTGGTTTCAATCCTTTTCCTTCCGACCGAAGGCTTTATCCAAGCTGTCGGTGATCTTAAGGCAAGATTCGAAGAGTAGTATCATTTTTCTAGGAACGAGACTGATGAGACAAACACTGAGTTAGCCTTATATTTTTTTAGAAAAATGTACTCTATAAATAGAGAAATGATAAATTCGTTATGTGTGCTCGATACTTCTAATGTTTGGCAATAACACATTTGGCACTCCCATGTTATAGATGGGGGACCAAGCCATTTTGTGAAAGCCCATCCAGCCATGGAGGCAGTTACTGGAAGCACACAGTTCTAGCCCAGGCACTTCTCCCAGTGTAACCTCCCAGGAAAAATTTTGCAATTTCTATATCCAACTATAGCTTAAGACATATATTAGAGACAGAATCAGAAGGCTGGAGCACCTCTCCTATGAAGACAGGCTGAGAGAGTTGGGGTTGTTCAGCCTGGAGAGGAGTAGGCTCCAGGGAGACCTTATAGCAGCCTTCCAGTATCTGAAGGGCGCCTACAAGAAGGCTGGGGAGGGACTTTTTACAAAGGCATGTAGGGGTAGGACAAGGGGGAATAACTTCAAACTGGAAGAGGGGAGATTTAGATTAGATATCAGGAAGAAATTTTTCACTCTGAGGGAGGTGAGGCACTGGCACAGGTTGCCCGGAGAAGTTGTGGCTGCCCCATCCCCGGAAGTGTTCAAGGCCAGGCTGGATGGGGCTTTGAGCAACCTGGTCTAGTGGGAGGGGTCCCTGCCCATGGCAGGGGGGGTGGAACTAGATGATCTTTAAGTTCCCTTCCAACATAAACCATTCTGTGATTCTAAGTGGCCAGAGGAATGCTGTTGACCTAGATTATTAAAATTTAAACCCACTGTTTCTTCATAATTGGGTACACGTAACAGGATTGACTGCAGGAATACTAACTAAAGGGCTGTTTTTACTAAGCTTTCCCGCTGATTTTGCAGGCACATGGAAAAGAAAGAAGGCAATGCTAGAAGATGAGTCACATTCTTACATTTTGAAAGCAAGCAAGCGTAAAGTCAGAGGCATGATCAGATAAAACTTTTCCTTTTGAATTGCATCCATGATCTTGCTGGCTATGTACTCTGCATCATAAACAGGAAGAAAAAGGGCGTTTCTGGTGAAACAAGAAAGAAAAGCATTATGAAATTATAAAACTTTACTTTTTAGATGTGTTCTAACACAGAAATCATTCAATTAAATAATTTAAGAATTTTTCCCCACCACCTTAAGTAGTCTCCAATCCTCTTTGTTCCTTCTATCATCAAAATAAATTGAAAACACGTTGGTGATATTGTGCATTTTAATGACTAATGAGGAACTTTTTGTGCAAGCCCCGATCAGACCCTAATGAAGTTAATGCCCACAGTGACTGCGGCATTGAAAGCTTCCCATAATCCATAGTATCATGCCGTTCTACGCATGAGAGTTCCGTCCTCCACACACCTCCTCCTTTTCTACTGTAGATGTTGAGGTGACAGCTAAATAGGCCAGGACCAGGCCTGTTTCCAGGCCTTTGCCCTCCACAATATATGCCACTACAGGGTGAGGAATTGTGGAAGCAGGAGCAGAGCACTGAAACCCCAAGATCACTGGTATTGCACTACTGCAGTGGCTAATTTGGTGGCTGCGGCCTCTCCCATCACTACAGCCATACAGCCACCCACCAGATACTGCCACCACTCAGAGAAGTATAGTGCCTCCTAATGCAGACAGCGGGGCATACTTAATAATGACAGGTCACGGGTATACTGGTAGCCATAACTGTAATCACAGTGTCAAAATTATTTGGGGCAGAGAACCTCAACAGTGCCCATTCTACTGACAAATAAAGTTGCCTTAAAAACTGCTGTGCATCCCTAACCGTCCCTTGACTGCGAGGTTATTATGCAGTCCCTGTTGCACGTCAGTTATTAATTGTAGAAAAGACTTGGATTTCTTATGTCAAGACACATAGTTGCATGTGCCAATAGGACAAAAATACTAAATTGAAAAGCAAATAAACCTTACAATAGCTGGAGACTGAATATGGCATATCAACGGCATAGCGAATATTTTTTACATATGAGATAGTACACGATCTAAGTTTTACTTACTGAGTTTGAAAACCTTTAACTAATTCAGTATTAACAAAATAAGGGCAAATGATTGTGATTTTAATGCCATGTTTTCCTGCATGATACAGTTCCGAATCTAAGGCTTCCATCATTCCAATGATTGCATACTTACTTGCAGCATAATCTGAAAAGTGAAGAAAGAAGAAAGATCCAAAATATGTCAAAAGCATCACAGTAGGTGCAGAATTTAATACTATTTAAGCCCTGATATTACTTAGTTATATAATTAGCAGTCTTGTCATTTGTATTTTAAGGATGCTGTGCTTATGGGTGATAGCAACTCTGAAGGTTAGTGGCGCTTCCCATGACTGATACACAGTTGTCTAAGGATAAGATTAATCCTTTCCAGAGGACTTTTTTCAGTGCACTATAGAGAGATAGAGGAAGATGAGGTTATTCAACATTTTCTGTACATTTCTGGGTACTCATATACAAGCCAGGCATTCTTTCAGTTCAGGATGTCTTCACCCTTTAATATGACAGGTTATATTTCAGTAAGAACTATTTCTAATGGTAAAGTCTAAATACCCTACTTATAAATGCTTCTTCAACCTATTATTTCATCTTCTGATTTGCCTCGCAACTACAATACCATTTTGGTTGCCCATGGAAGACTGAATTTTGTCTGATTTTTATTTGACGAACGTATGGAACTCCATCCTTCAAGATAATAAAAATTTGCCCTCATAAGGCCCTGTGCAACCTGATCTAAGTTGGGCCCGCTTTTGTTTGGGGATATGGACCAAATGAACTCCAGAGATTCCTTCCAACTCAAATTATTCTGCAGTTTTGCCACTGTAAGAACTTTATTTTAATATAGGAATTTACATGGGGTTTCCTAAGGCTTTTTCAAATGTGTGTGAAAATAATTGTTAGATACAACAAAATCGAGTTTTGCTAAAAGAGTAACTTCAAAAACTGGCACCAGACACAGTTTGTTATTCTTCAGGGACTCACCCATAGTAGATGATGGAACCAAACAACCTAAAAATGCATAGGTGTTAAGGTGTAAAAAGTTATAATGCATGGGTAGGCAGGTCCATTCTCATAAGCCTTACAGTTAAATGATGAAAGCTGGATGTGACCTATTATCAATACCGAGTCTGACCCAATGATAACAGGTGGCAAATAAACACTACAGTAACACCATCGACCAGCAGAAGAAGCAAGAGATACTTAGTACACTGAAGTTCATATTATCATAGGGCAACCTAAGATGTCAGGGAGGCTTGAGGAGAGACTGGGCAGCAGACCCAGGCTGATGAAATAGTCGTAACTGTAGCAGACATCTCTCCTGAGGGAAACAGCTGAGAATACGGAGCTGTTAAATAGCTTAAAACACAGTTAATCCAAATTAATTTTAATGAAAATTCTGCCAAAATCCCTTCTGGACCTGAAAACCATTTTCCAACTAAATGTATAGTTCCAGGTATAACCCACGTATGTCTCAGGACTCTGAGCATTCACCTGCAGAAAACCTGGCATGAGAAAGTGTTAGACAACCTATAAGCAGGGCTCCCTCCCACTGCACACATATGAGCTGTATTGTCCTCCTTCTGCGGAGATAAGACAGGCGGCAGTCAGACTGTAACATCTGCAGTGAGGTCCCTGGGCCACTCAGGCAACATGCCACCATCATCCTCTTCAATACACCACCACCTTTCCTATCTGCAGGCTCTGCCTGAGTGTTCACTATGTCAGTATAAGCTGCTTCAGCCAAGTGTTTATGGGATCTCCAGGAAAAGTTATTAGCATGTAGACCTAATTTGTCATGGCACTTGACGGTACTAACCTCTGCTGTGCTAACCAGGTGTCCACGGTTACAGGTCATCATGGCTGGAAGAAAGGCCTTGCAAGTCTAAGAGACATATTAAAAAGTCCCTCTTTATAACTAGACATGCCAAAAATGTTGCATTCCAAATTAGGCTTTACAACCCGATTTTCTTTCTGGGGCTTCAATATGCAAGCAGCCCAACTGACCTTCTACCTCTACAAGAACTTATAAATGAAAGACAGCACTTCCTTGAATGGCTGCCCTCCATCGGAAGGTCTGTCAGCGTTAAAATCGTGTAATTAAAAGCAGTAAAGTTTGTATTTTCTCTGCCTCCTTGTTCCTCACGGTTTGAGTTTATTTGAGACTACTACTAAAGATTTGGTACACAAGAGGGAGCTAGAAGTCAACACATCAAGAGGAGCTCAGCTGTCTATGGCCCCTATTTGTTACAAACCTAACTGCCTGACAACTCCAGCACCGCAGACCACCACTGTGGGTGACACGGACTATAGATGGAGAATTCCAGTGTTTTGTAAGGGGGAAGATAAGGAAAAAAAAGGCAAGAGCGGTAATAAAATGTTTTCAATAGCTGAGATATGCTGCAATGTCTATTCAACTCCAGATGTCTGCGTGTCACGCTTTGGGCCAGACTGGCCACTGAGACGAATGCGGTTTTTTGGTTGAAAGCCCACGGTCACCGTCCTCCTGCCCTATGTCTCTTCAGGCCTGCCAGGAGGAACATCTATCCCAGTCCCTTTGCCTGGGGGGCTCTGGGCGCATCTGGAATGATGCGCTCTGGGCTGGGAAATGATTAGAAGATTTCTATCTGCAGTGATTTTCCATTGAGGAATGCCATTTAGCGAGGGAGTTGCAATGCTACATTTTCCCCTGGTGCAGGCTGCTCACTCAGGTGCATAAACAACAAATGCAAGAGGGGGCAAGAGTAACAGTGCCTCACAACAAAACCTCTTACAGGTCAACTGAGACCCCAAATATCCCCTTCAGAGCTACGAAAACAAAGCAAAGATACATACCATCCAAATTAGTTTTCTATGTACATTAAGCAGATGGTGACTAGGAACGAAACCACAGCCTGAAGGCTGACACCAACACGTACAGCACAGAATCACAGAATCATTTAGGCTGGAAAAGACCTTAAAGATCATCAAGTCCAACCGTAAAGCTGACGCTGCCAAGTCCACCATTAAACCATGGTTCTGCCTCCCCAAATGCTACAAGTCTATTAGACAAAGCCTTCTGATGCCAGCAGAAGGTGACATGCCATCATGTCAGCATTAAGTTCAGCCACAGCTGTTACAGATAGAGCATGTTTCACAACTCAGTTGCACATTGATTTATCAGACTGCCTGGGCAGGTTTGTGTTAACGTTACTGAGACATAGTGGGAAGACTGTTGATTTGGTGTGTCGCCAATCATAGGATGAGTAAAAAAATATGTCTTCCCCCAATCAAGGCCCTTCCCATCCCATTGCAAATTGCAAATTGGCACCGAGGTAGGTGCCACCATGGTGATTTTCACACTAAAATAGTTGCCGGTACCTTTTGGTCGCCCAGGAGAGAAAAAAATACATTACCCAGACTTGAGAGAAGAAGTTGACTCTTAAGGTCTTTTCAAAATCTGCATCTGGAATGTCACAGAACTTTTTCCCAAGCAGTATGCCAGCATTATTGATTAGAATAGTAACATCCCCAACTTCTTTTCTAACCTGAATAAAAAAAGGATAAACAGAAAGCTTTAGAAGGTATCCTTGCCTCTTGTGCTTCATTTATTAAAATGTTTAGTGATATTTGCAATTATTTGTATGTCTACTGGAAACATAAATATGTAAGAACTTTTCTACTGCATCAGATCAAAGATCCATCTAGCCCCATAGCCCTTGTCTCATGGTGGAAAGCAGTAAAAAAAGGACCAGGACTCTGAGGTGTCCTCCAGTGTACTCCTCAACTTGTCACACTCTGCATCTTAGGAACTTCCTGAGAGAGGTAAAGTATCTATGTCTTTGCATTTAATATATCCTCATGACTTTTTTCCCCCCAAGAATTTGTCTAATTGCTTCCTGAACTCCAGAATACATTTGGTTTCCACAGGAACCTAAGTTAATGAGTTACAAAGCTTTAGGGTGCACTGTGAGCATGCTTTATTTGCAACCTGAACATTTCTTGTCCCCTATTTCTGGTATTGCGAGAATCCATATTCCTCAGCCAAGCCTGATCAACCCCTTTTCCAGGTCATTTCTACTGAACAGGAAAGAATTCAGTGCAGATCCTTGAAGGATACCGATCCTTTGAGTACAGAAGCATGTACCATGAAATAGATAACATCACTTGGAGAGAAGGCCAAAATCACCATTTGGGTTTGTTATAGAAAGATTTTATCCCATGATTTGGATTGACATCAAAGCAGATGGCCAAGATTTACTTATTGTGTTAAGAATCAGGCTCACTGCAGAGATTTCTCTGCTAGAGGCAAATGGTTACTTGGTGTCTCAAAAATTATGGAATGACTACAAAACCATAAAAATCCCAGATATGCTACTGTCCGGCAATCTGGAAAGAGGTGCTTGGATCTGGTGCCTGAACATTTGACCTTCCTTTGGCTCTCTCGGGGCACCTGAGTGCTCAGTGAAGACTTGTTGACACTCCTCCAGCTATGTCAGTCTTTCTCCTTGTCGTAGACAAAGCAGGACGCAGATACTAGCACCTTTCTACCTGCACAAATGAATGCAAATCTAGACACTACGGGGTACGGCAGGAATACCCAACTCTTCCTTTGTGGGTTGTATCTGTCCTTTCTCCCCACTCATACCTTTTAACTACTGTGTCAGTCCAGATGCAGCTTCCTCAATGGCAGCATTTTATTTCATCTGGCTTCATTTGACCTGTTTACTCACTACCCCCAAAAATATGGGAAACTTCACTTCCGTTTACAAAAACTCAAGCTGATTATTCCTCATTATACATTTCTGTAGGTTGATTCTTCTCTTTACTATCATTTCTACCAATTTTATGTAAGACAGGTTTGTAGTTTCTCTGTGTCCTCATAAGTGCTCTTTAAAACTGGCGTATTTCCCACTCTTTGTTCCATGGGCACCTGTTATAGCAAAACACCCCCCATGTATTTCTAGCTCATCAGATCCATATCTGATTTCCTTTGGAATTCCCAGGTGAACACTCCTTGATCCTGAAAATTAGTTGCTGTTCACTTCACTGGTTTATTCTAAAACCTCTTCTTTAGGGACTTCAATGATCTGATTTTCTTCCTAGAAAGAAAGCTTTCGTTATGAGAAAATACCTAGGTTTTTCTGCAGTGAATACACCAAATAAGAGCAATTAATCTGACTTTTCTGCTATTCATTTATCATCTGTGTCCAAGCTCAAGACTTTTCATATTACTGATCAAAAAGCTGCACATATTTCCAAGAGAAGAGGCCCCTAGCTGAAAAAATTTCTGGCTCCATCATGACTGTTCAATTCATGCAAATACCTACAAAGATGTTTGTATTGTTAACAATAATTTAACACCTTAAGAGCAATACCTGAATTTTAAACAGCTCTCTGAGTTTCTGCTTGTAGGTCAGCCTGTGCACTTCAAAATACAATTTGCTGCTATGGGCACAGCAAATTGTGCAGGCTGGAGCCCTGTGGCTGACTTGGTTAATGTGTTCAGAGACTGAGAATTACTTGAGTGCACAAAACAAACATTTTGAGACTCTGTTAAACTAAGAACAACCACATCATTTCAAAATGTTCAGCATCGACAGGAAAGTCCAACTGAGAAATTACTTACATAAGCTTAAACTAATCGTTTTGGTGCATGTCTTTGCAAGAAGCAGATAGCATTTATGGGAATAGGGATTTAATGCCAATTTAAAAATGTTATTTTTTAAAGAGATTTGATCTTGGTAAATTCTACAGTGAGTTTTTTTCCTTGCAGAAAGGGGACTCTGGAAGAACTGCTGTTCGATGTATAGTATCATTCCAAATACAGATTAAGTGTCACATTTGAAGTACTGCCCACAAGTTGCTCAGACTGGTTTTTCATCTTTCTGGGAAGTGATAACAGATATGAAGATTGTTGAAATTACTGGGATTCTTACTCCAAAATTGCAGGAGTTGTAATCAATGTCTTACACAGTGAGGATCACATCATCTGTACTGCTCAAGTAACTGTCAAAGATCGTCCTCCTTGACCACTGCGTGTTGGGTCAGTGCAGAAGACTCAACAACTTGCTCATCTCTGCAGACATGATATTATGATCTGATATATCCTTGCCTGCACTGTCCAAGTAATACTATCATACCACTTGTAGTTCTAAATATCTACAACCAGTGGTCCCAAATGGATTTTTCTGCTGTGTGCTGTTACTTGGCTGTGCCCCAAATGCTGCTAGCAAGTACTGGTAAAAAGTAATACTTTCCTGACCGGAAGCATGAGAACTCCAGTTCCAGATACTTACAGATCCTGAATCCAACTTACCCTTTAGAAGAACTTTTCACCAGGAACCTTTCTTGAGGAAAAACATTTATTTCAAACTTTCATAGCCGTGTTCAGAAAGAATTAATCTGTTTTGGTTAAAATTAAAAGCAACAACCACAAAACAAAGAGCCCCTCTGGCAACTCATAGAAAATTAACGTGACATTTTAAGGCTATTTCAAAACAATCTATCAATGTTCATATGTCATGAAATATTTTAGATAATTTCTCTGATGTGTGCCTTCGGACACAGAATGTCAAAGATGTGACTTGAGAGTCACGTATATAAGTACATATACTGAGAATTTAACAAAAAAAGAATTTATCCTTGGATGAAATGGCAGAGTGGGTAACTGGATTTATAAGTGAGGTTATACTGGAAAATATTTTCAGACAGTACATAGTTAAAGGACAAGTAAAAATTAATAAAGTTAATTTAGTGTCCAATTTCAGGACTCTAATAACAGGAAAAAAAAAAGTTTACAAAGCGCAGGTGACATGGCAGAAGTCTCATTTAAAATGAAGTCTTCTCTACCTTACTTTCCAGACGGACTGACCAAAAAATAAACTGGAGCTGCATCAGTTTGACTGGAGGGAAGCCATGTCCTGACGATATTTTTGAAACCATTACACCCCATACCACCCTTACAGAACTACAGTTTTCTAAACAAATGGACAAAGAAAAAGAACACTCGCCTTAACATTTCCACTGTTGTGTTTGGTTTTTTTTAAATTTATTTCTTGATATCTTGAAGAAATTTTAAAGCCTAAAGAAGCTAATATATGGAGCTAACCTCTGCTGTATATTTTGTCATACTCTCAATCTAAAAGGTTACCATCTCACAGTGAAGACTTGAAATGGCCAAATCTCAACAGAACTGATTAAATGCAGTTACTTCATTGCGAACACAGTTTAAGTTCCATCTAGAAGTTACTTGTTAAAAAGAGAAAGCTATTGCCTTATATGATTACTACCCTGTAGTGAATAGTACAGTTTCTAAAAAAAAAAATTCAATAGCCTATACTATTAAAAAATCAGAAGCAAGAAGCCAAATTAGAAGCCAGAAGCTGTGTCTTACCTTGTCTGCTTGTTCATAGACCTCCTCCCTATTGCTGCAGTCACAGTGGTAGGCAAACACTCGTTTAGCTCCATTTTTTTGGGCTAATCTGGTTGTTTCTTTGTTGCCTTCATCATCAATGTCCCAAAGAACCAAGGTTGCTCCCAAAGGAGCAAAATTTAAGGCAATCTGCCTTCCAATCCCATTTGCGGAGCCAGTAATAAGCACTATTTCCCCAGCAAAAGTTTTTTTGCATGGAGGAAATATAAATAAGAGTAATTTCTCAATAAATAAATAAATTAATAATTTCAGGAACTGTAGTATCTTCAGGATGCTTCTGAAGTTGAACATGATTTTTCAGGCACAAACACCTCTCTTCTGTTATACAAACCCAGAAATACAATATGTTACTGGCCCTTCAAAACACACTGAGATATTGACTAAAAAAAAAAAAAGAGATTGACTTTCAATCAGCTATTTCTTTCACACTGTTCTTTTGTGCAGGTACAGAATACATTACTAAAGACTCATTTTGTGAAAGCTGATGGATTCTTACTAGTAGGATTAAAGCAAATATCTTCTGCTTGATCCTACACCCCTGCTGTTTCTTTCCAGAGTCCTCAGTTTCCAAGGCTTTTAAAAAGGTTTAGTAACATACATTTTATACATGTATGTTGTGGCCATGGCTATAGAGGACTTTGTTTTCATAGCAAGGTGATGTTAGCTGAGCAAAGTACCAAAAACACTGGGGGGATGTTAACCTTAGAAAAGAAGGTGTCCTCCTTAGCAGAAAATGTGACCTGCCCTTTGAGAAACCTACCCGCGCCGTGTACATTTTCCAATCCCATGTGGCCAAAATCACACAACATATTTTCGTTTGTGAGCAAATGACCAACCACGCAGAAAAGCACGGCCCTGAGAGTGACCAGCCTTGATTATTTTTATTTTTTTTTCCATCCTCCATTTAGACCTTACCATTTTCCCTTACAGTGCATGGGACGGGAACGGCAAAGCTCCGCAGAAGTC